GAGAGAAAAGGCTGAATGAAAGTATCTTAGATTGCCATGCAAAGACAAATCAGTTGACCAAGGAGCCTACCAAGATGTCCCATGACCCCAGGAAGTGGTCTTCCTTCGCATCCTTGCCACACACAGTCATTGGTTGGGAGAATTCAATGTGAGACATCACTTTGATGCAAATGCAATGATGAATTTTCAAATTGCAGTGGTTAGGTCCTTCAGTCAATTGACTCCCTATAGTAGGAGGTCTGTAAGGCACATTCATATGGTCATCATAGGACACCAATAGAATTTGTAGGGCAATCCAAAAGGAAATTCCAGGTAACATACTTTCTCTCTCTGACTCTTGGACCCTTTTGAGGCAGGGTCAGAAAACTCTTTCTGTAAAGTGTCAGATAGTAAACATTTCTGACTTTGTGGGTAATCTGGTCTTTGCCACAACTAATCAACACTATCACTATGGTGCTAGTAGCAGCCATAGATGATCGATAAACAAATGGGTGGCTGTGTTCCAATAAAATTCTATTTACCAAAACAAGTAATAGGTCGAATTTAGTCCATGGACCATAGTTTCCAACCCCTGCTCTAAGGCCACCTACAGAATTTTTAAAAAATAAAAATAAATCCAAATGTCTACCAATACAAGATTATAAAAGTTTTTTTGAAAAGGAGAAAGAGTTGAATCTATATGTAATATCATGGGTTGCAGTTAATAATATTAGGTTAAATAATAAATTGCAAAACAGTACCATGAACATGATTTTATTTTGTAGTAATAATACTTAAAGAATTTTTTGCATAAGGAATAACTCTGAATACATGTCCAGAATTTCAGAATGTGAACTTATTTGTAAATAACATCTTTTTGTGTATAATGGAGGGTTTTTTCTATGTTTTATTGAATTTATTGGGGTGACATTGGTAATAAAATTATATAGGTTTCAGATATACAATTCTATAATACATCATCTGTATATTATATTGTGTGTTCACCACCCCAAGTCAAGTCTCTTTTCATCACCATTTATGCTCCTTTACCCCCTTTTCTACCTCCCCTAACTCCCCTTTCCCTCTGGTAATCACCATACTGTGAGAATTTTTCTTCTCTAATGAATATACAAGCTTGGTTACAGCTTAATTCAAAGGCTGAATTTAGGGAGTGTTTTCGAATGCACCATAAGCATGACAAACACAAGCCTCACAGGACATGCCCACAGGGAGACTTAATTTAAAAAAAAATCACCATACTCTTCCATTCCAAGCCCACAAAAAGATGAGACAACTCCACGGGAATAATATTTACTTGAACCCAAGTCTTGAGAAATGGCCCAGTGAGCACCTGACGATGTAATTTGTGCTGTCTACAGACACAGAGTTTTGTTTTGTTTTTTTATTAATCCTCACCTGAGGATATTTTGCCATTGATTTTTAGAGAGAGTGGAAGGGAGAGAGAGAGACAGAGAGAAACACTGATGTGAGAGAGTCACATCAATTGGTTGCCTCCTTCACTCACCCCGATCAGGACCAGGGAACCTGCAACCAAGGTACATGCCCTTGACCAGAATTGAATCCAGGACCAATGCTCTATCCACTGAGCCAAACTGGCTAGGGCTATACACTTTACATTTTAATGCTTACATTTCATGTGGTGTATTTTGGTGATCAGGCAAAAAGAACAATAAGAAAGTAAAAAGACAATATATTTCCTTCCCTATGATGATACCATATTTACATATTTACACTTCAATAATACTTGCCATATGCAGAAAAAAGGGCCACTGTAACAAGATGCTCATCTGACCTTTTTAAACAACAAAAGCCTGGAACAACCATCTGTCCATTAATAAGCGACAGCTGAAATAAATTTAACAAACATAAAGACACTTAAAGCATCTATCTTATCTTAAGGTTTAATTTTTCTTATGTTCGCTTAATAATTAGCTAAAAATTAAAATATTCTACGACCAGATTTATAGTGGTCCCCAAGCTGTAGCTTGTTACATTAGACAATCCTGGCATACCACTTGCTTGGTCACACCTTATTCAGCCACTGTTACGGTGACCAGTTCCATGAAGGTGTAATCAGGTCATGTATAGAACATAGGGCTTCTTCCTATGGAGCTGCCCTGACTCCATGGCACAGGATACCCTAGCAACCGGCTCCCTGTCATGCACACACAACCCAGAAGTATGGGAAAGTCAGCACTTGGTAGGCAGTCCATGAGCCCCACATCATCAATTGAGTATGATCCTTTCATCCCCTGGGAAGGACAATTGTGAAATATTTCATAAGGTTCCTCCAAGGGTCCTGGCAGGGTTGCACACCAGTCTCCACTAGCAGGGTAAAACTGGATTACAATTCCTTGCATTGGCTTTTCTTCCTTCACAGCTTCACTCTGCCTGTTTTGCACTCCCACTCTCCGTGATCACATTTTAAAATAAACTGCCAATAAGCAAGTTTTTGTCTTCGGCCCTGTACTTGAGGGAACTCTCTTTTTGAGTCTCCAATTCTAACCCTAGACTCTGGTCAGAGGTGTCACCTCCTGATCATTTATTAGAAGACATTTATATAACTAGCATTATATAATTATTTATACTCCATTTGGGAGCTTGAGACCATTTCAAATTATACATAGATCAGTGGTTCTCAACCTTCTGGCCCTTTAAATACTGTTCCTCTGATTCCGGTCAAGGGCATGTACCGTGGTTGTGGGCACATCCCCAGTAGGGAGTGTGCAGGAGGCAGCTGATCGATGTTTTTCTCTCATCAATGTTTCTAACTCTCTATCCTTCTCCCTTCCTCTCTGTAAATAAATAAAAAATATATAAATACAGTTCCTCATGTTGTGACCCAACCATAAAATTATTTTCGCTGCTACTTCATAAGTGTAATTTTGCTACTATTATGAATCGTAATGTAAATATCTGATATGCAGGATGGTCTTAGGCGACCCCTGTGAAAGGCGTCTAGCAGGACCAAAGGGATCACAACCCACAGGTTGAGAACCACTGACATAGATAATGGAGATAATGACAGCGAAGTAGACCCTGTCATCATTCAACTTTGAAATACCCAACAGACAAGTGCAAGTGATTAAACTTCACCAAAATATGAAATATGTGAACATTTTTTCTAGCTTTTACATGGCTAGGAACAACTCTATAGACATGGAAAGAAAAATACTTAATAATAGTGTCATCTGTCACATTTTCAGTAAGCTCACAGGAGAGGCATCAAGCTAACCCCTCGGTAGAAACAATCATCCATATATCGATAACACCTTTGAAGAAGGAAGATCGTCCAAGTCAGAAAGGACAGGCACAGTTAGTCTTTCTTGTTTGATTTTCTTTAGTTCTCTCAATTTCCCCAGAATCTATTGCTCCTTCCAGTTTTCCTGGCACAATTCCAAGAATATATATTGTGTTTAGGTGCAAATAAATCATTTTTTTAAAACTATCTCACCAAAGAAAAGGGGAAAATTAAATAATTATGAAAGGTAAATAATATTTTCTGGCATATGAACTCTGCTTCTTTACATCAATCTCGTTTGAATCAGATCTTTAAAAAATCATTTTAAGATCTCAGCAAAAAGTAATTTTTGCAACCACAGCTCGTCAGGCTAATGTTGCCTCGGTCCATTTCACAATCTGATACTTATTGGTCAATTAAATGGTTCATCATAAAATGTTTAGCTGAGTGAATTTTTTATTATTATATGTTTATGGTAGGTTAAGTATCTACTCTTGGTATTCATTTCAGATAGGGAGTGCATGAAATATCCCAGCTTTCTCTGCCCTTGTTATTGAATTATTCCATAAACTTGAGCCTTTCTTATTATATATCATATCAGGCACCACACTCTAGATACGTTTTGTTTATTTACTGTGGTTTAAATTTTTTAAGTCTTTTTAAAATAGTGGTTATGTAGCCTTAAGGGTAAGTATCTTTTTCATTAAATTCTACCTTCATACATTAGTTCTATAATATGATGAATAACCTGAGACTCTTTCTGTTTTCAAACTTCGTGCATCTTAAAATATTGGCCACTAAATCTCTAATCAGTGTCAAGAGTGATAAATAATATCTTCTGAATTTAATGAAATCCCATATCGGGCACAGGATCTGAATTGCACAAGCTGTTCCAAGTACTTACTCTTACTTCTTTCTGGGCTTTCAGAGAAATTGCCTTGCAGAGGTCTGTAGCCAAATATTTCCAGTATAAATCTGACTTTTGTAATTATAACCACTAACAGAACATTCTCAGAATTGTCTCTGTAAGTGATTCTCTCAAACACTGGAATTAGTTGAGACAAGGAGGACAGTTGACTCTAGGAGTTTTTAAAAGTGGGAAATTAGTTTAAAATGCATATTAATCTTATAAGCTTAGGAGTTTTCCATTTTTATTTTTCTTCTGAAATTTCTTTAGGAATTAGAGATTATGTTTCTTGTCCATATTCTCTAGTTTACAAGGAAGCAACAAGTCATATTGCCCAAATGCAAGGCTCTGAGAGCAGGGATAATAATAATAATAATAATAAAAGAGTTTAGAAATAGTTTTGTACTTTCCATGTACCTTTTCATTCCGCATACATAATCTTCACTTCCCACCTCCCCTTAAGCACACAAATACAAATACACACCCAAACAGACACACAACCAGACTTGCCTGTGCTAAGTAGTGGGCAAGTTATTGTTTGTTCTTACGTTCTGTCTGTAAGACATTTTACATGTGTTTGGTGTGTGTTGTTGTTTAAAGTGCTTTTACATAGATTATCACATATAATTTTTCCAACTCCCATGTCAGGTATGGAGAGCAGATGTCATTACTTTCCTTTCATAATTGCCTGGCATTGGAATCAATGCGAGCAAGTAGTCTCTTGTGTCTTAGCATCATATTCAAGTGATTCGGGCAGCTAATCTGTCAATATGACAATTTCTACTACTAGCCAAGTCTCCAAGGAATTGAATCTACTTAACCTGTTTCTCTCAGACCTACCATGCTGGATGATCAGTCAGGATTCCGACCCTGGGTAATGGTTATGGGCTTCTTCCTCCAGCATATGTGTTTGGTCACTTTTTCCTGAAACTCCTTGGTTTTCACTCCATAAATAATAGGATTGAGCATTGGAGGTACAAGGAAGTAGAGGTTGCCTAGAATGGTGTGGATGTGGGGTGGAATGCCCTGACCAAAGCGGTGAGTGAGAAAAGAGAAAAGCGAGGGAGTGTAAGAAATAAGCATGACACAGATGTGTGTGGTGCAGGTGTTAACTGCTTTGTGGTGGGCTTCTTTAGAAGAGAGCCGCAGTACAGCCCGGATGATTAGCACATAAGATGAGGCAATAGCTGAGATGTCTAGCCCAACAACCAACAAGGCCACCACGAGACCATATATCCTGTTGACTGTGGTGTCCACACACACCATCTTCACTACAGCCATGTGCTCACAGTAGGTGGTGGGGATGACACGATTGGCATGAAAGGGCATTTTCTGAAGGAGGATGGGCATTGGGATAATGAACAGGATGGCTCTCACTAAACTTACTAGGCCAATGAGCCCAATGCGACTATTGGACAGGATGGTGGCATAGCGCAGGGGCTCACAGATGGCCACATAGCGGTCAAAGGCCATGCTCATTAGGATGGCAGACTGCAAAGCAGAGATGGAGTGGATGAAAAACAGCTGGACCAGGCAGCCTTCATAACTGATCTTGCTCAGGCCAAACCAGAAGATGCAGAGCACCTTGGGAATGGTGGTTGTGGACATGCCTAGGTCTGTGAGGGCCAACATGCAGAGGAGCAGGAACATGGGCTTGTGCAGGGAGCGCTCTGTGGAGATGGTGAAGAGGATGGTGCAGTTCCCAAGGATGGTGAGGAAGTACATGGATGAGAAGGGGATAGATATCCATCTGTGTTTGTCCTC